TCCTCACGTCGGAGATCCGTTGAGGGATGCACATGTGGGATGATCAGTTGAAGCCGTGGGGTCTTTCATTGAATCCAAAAGATGAGCCTGGAGAGCGTCCATACCAGCTTCTTCCCATGTTGTAGAAGGGGAAGGGAGGAGGTTCAAGCCAATGGGGGCGTCCGTTGTTTCTCGGTGGGCCGCCGTACGCCTCTAGGGTGGAGGGCCATTCTTGGAGCCACTGTGGTGGCGGAGGCGAACTGTAGTGGTTCGGGTACACCGGCGGCGACCTTGGCGGAGGGGTGGGGTTGGCCGGCCTGTTTGACATTGTTACTAACGGCCCCATCCTGCTGCAGCTGGACATCACTAAAGGCAACAAGTGCGATTTTTTTGTGGAAATTCTGTATGAGGAAATCTGTTTGGCATTGGCACATACTACCTCACGTTAACACATCTGCATCAGTATTTCATACTTTAGGCGTTTAAAACAGCGCAGAAACTATCCCCAACTTGTAAAATCAGCCGAGAATTGCCCTAATAATTACACTTCGATCAAACTTGACCTTTTCTTTAGTGTTTTACATGTGCGGTGGTTTCTTCTATATATAGCGTTGGAATGCTACTCGAAAACCGCCTGAAACACGCAAACAAGCCGACTCCGGTCCTGAACCTCTGGTTGGTACGTTCCTGTGTAATTACACTATATCCACAGTAAAGGTAAACTTACCATGAGCACATCGACCCTGGCGTCTAGTCCCGTCACGTGCCTCCAGAGGACCTGGACACGCAGCAGGCTTTCCTTCCTCAGCCTGATCCCTTTGAGGGCGGCACTGTATGGTACAAAAATTTACTCAGTCAAGTCAAGTCAAGTCAAGTCAAAGCCTTTATTGTTGTTCATTGTTGTTGGCATTCAGTAGGTTGCTGGGAAGGCGTTTGCGTTTATGAGAAATGAAGGCATTGTTTCCTGTTTTTATATAGCCTCCTATGCAGGCTACCTGTGCTGCCATGTTTATGACCGGAGTCCTGCCCCCTCGCCCTTCTCTCTCGATCTCGTCGTAGAATTTCATGCGCGATGAGGTGTACCCACAGTAGTCACACACCAGCGTCTCAGAAGTTGCTAGTCCCACCTGCAACTCCCCTTTGGCTGAAGCCCTCACTCGCCTCCGACAGGTGGGATGCTTCGTGTCGTGCTCCTGTTGAGCCTTGGCGATCCCTTCAACGCCTGCTGTCACCTTCCAGATTCTGTACCCTGCAACATCATCAGCATCCTCCCCTGTCCCACCTACCAGGTACTGGGCCATTTCACTGGTGGCTGACTTCTGAGGCCGCAGCAGGCAGGGTCTCCTAGCCTCCGCAATGATTCTCTTCTTGTCATGTTGGATGTTGCCCTTCCGGTCTTTGTCGGCCAGCAAACGGAAGTCTTCCTCTGTCGCTCTGACGTACTTAGAAGGTTTTTCAGGTGTCTTCCTGGTACCGCCCTTGTTCCACGGAGTATTTCTGGCTGGACTGGCCGTCATGCTTTCCGTGCTTCCGCTTT